CGGACCACCCGGATTGACACCTATACTCCCCTAGCTTCTTCTGCCACAGATAAAAAATTAACAAGGATCTCACCAATAGTTGGCTCTCCTACACACAGATCTGTTGCCTTTGCTATGATTTCATAATCACGCTAGCATCAATTAGCAGCTGCAAAGGAATTTTGAGAAATCTAGGCACAGTTGCAACTGCATCTTCTATTTCTGGTCTCCTCCCACACACAGATGTGAATCCCCAAAGATCAATTAATTGAGTGTTTTACCTAACTACTAAAAACCTCTCAGAACCTTCTTCCCACACCAAATCCATCACTAAAGCTCCACCCTTGAACCTCCCAAAATGCCACCAAAATCGGAGATCCATACTGCCTCCGCCAACATCGGCAGTGCCACCAAATTCGCCCAAGCATCCAACTCCAACGAATTCATCTTTCAGCATCCGGTGGTTGTGTGCGAGAGAGCCTTTCTGGTGGTTGTGTGTGTGTGTGTGTGTGTGTGTGTGTGAGAGAGATAGAGAGAGAGAGAGGTATAAGGGATAGAGATTTATGGTTGGTGAGAGTTGGAATTGAGTTTTATAAAATTAAATTATAATAAGATATCGGACATTTGAAATAATAACCATAATATCTATATTTGAAATCAAATTTTAAAAATTCCGTGTCAATGTAATTTCCACTTTTAAAATTTACTTTTGCATTATATGGATCCATGACTTTAATAAACTTAAATTGCAACTACTATCCCTAACCTTTAAATGATTTTACAATATTCCTAACCTTTCAGAAATTAGCAAATTCCATCTTTATTCAAAGTTTCCGTCCCCAACATTGTTGTTAAGTAGGCATAAAAAGACATACTTACCCGCAACTTAAAATAAACGAATAAAAACCAAAATGTAAAGATTGTACGTTTTTCCTCATAAAAAGAAAATGAAAATGAAAATATGCGTAGGAAGCTGACGTGGCATTATCCATGGTCCATATGGCACGAGAAGATAAATTCACGTTATGTACTGAAAGCGCGTTTGTAAAA